TGGAGTCAAGTATGACCCCATGAACAAAAGAGCTGAACCTTGTCCCATCCTGTGCCATCCTCACACTTCATGACACACTTGAGCCTTTGCAACAGTCACTGAATCTATTCTCCTGGTTTTCCTCTCTTTCCTGACCCTCCCCTTTCCAAGCATGACGTCATTCTCCAAGGAATAATCTCTCCTAGCAACATACCCTAAGTATGTGAGATGAAGCTTCACCATCTTTGCCTCCAAGGAGCACTCTGGCTGCACCCTCTCCAAGACATTGCTGTTTGTTCTCCTGACAGTTTATAGGATATCTAGCTCTGTTCTCCAACACCACATTCAAAGGCATCAATTTCCTCTCCTATCTTCCTTATTCATTGTCCAGCTCTCAGATGCATAGCAAGTGACTGACAAGACCATGGCCTGAATCAAGTGCACCTTAATCCTCAAACAGACATCATTGCTCCTCAGTAATTTGGAGAGGTTCCTGACTGCAGACTTTCCCGGTGCAATATATCTCCTGATTGCCTGACTGCTGGTATCAAGTGTACTGATTATGGATCCAAGTAAGATGAAGTTCTTTCACCATCAATTAGCTTCACCTAATCTTAAATGTCACAAAAATAGAGCCATACGGAGTATGCTCTGACAGCGTCTGGCTTCCTCCTCTGAGAATCACTGTAGTGCAGAAGATTGCTCAACAAGGCTTCCATAGTTGTTGGTTTTGGCTTTCACCATATGGCTGGGTAGAGCTATACAAATGTGGGGTATTTGTGGTCCTACCAAGGTAATTCATTAGCTTCCTACTAATATAAGGTAAATAGTGCCCTTTTGGTGGGAAATGCAAATAAGGCATAGAGACTACTAAGTGAAGACATTGGTCCATTTTGCCATCCTGTCTGGCTTAGGTAAGCAGTTTCAGAGGCAGAAGACAAGAGTCAAGGAAAAAGAAGCAGAAAGTGTAGCACATTTTCTTGGGCCAGGGGCCCCCTGTGAGATGTTGAGTCCAGACCAGAGGTAGCAGCAGAAGTGGCAGAGACTCAGAGACCAGCGTGAGATGAAGCTAAACTTGAATGAGCACCCCACAGAGCCAGAGCCCAGCCCTTAGCCTAGGCCTGCTAGCAGAACCTGGTGGCTTAGTAGTTAGGGATTCTGCTGCCAACACAAAACTATTCAGCTGGATCCCACCAGCTGCTCTGTGTGAGAAAGAAGGGCAGTCTCCTCTCGTATGCTTCACTGTCTCTGAAAAACCCCTGGAGGGTCAGCTCTGTGTTGGTTCAAACATGATGATAGTCAACAACCACTAGCAAAGTGAGGTGCAGAGAGGCACACAAAGTTTGCAGAACTAAGAGCTTTGTAACATCAGCCCAGAGCCACAGCAGGAACCAGAGCTGTGAAGCTGAAGGTTAACCTAACCGGACCACGAGCTGCAAGCACAACTGCAAGTTTGTCCTGACTTGTATCCTGAATTGTATCCTGAGTGTTTCTGAACTGAATTGTAACCTGTTATTTCCCTAATGAAGCTCAGAATTTTAAGTATTGTCTGTGAGTTCTGTGTGGCCATTGCAACAGACTGGTGAACTTTCCAAGGGCGTAGTGAGAGCCCTGAGAGGAACAACTGGCGTTAGAAATTGGTGTTAGGAGGTGAGTGTGGGAGTGTAGGGACACGCCTGATTTCAAATGAATTAGTTTTGTGCTATCGTACTGATATTGTGTGTAGAGATCCTTCTCCCCATAGCATTAGTGAAGATCAGACACCACGGCTTCTACACCAACGGCACCACTGTTATAATCGTGTTTGAGAGCATCACTCATGTTGTTGTATGTAGTGGTAGCTCATTCTCATTTTTATATAATGTTCTGTGGCATGAACATAGAGTTTGTGTCAAGCCTGCTATAGTATGTGGCATCTTAGACTGCTAAACAAAAGTTTTCAGCAGTTTTAATCCACCAGCTGCTCTGCAGAAGACAACAGAGTCTTCTCCTATGAGGATATACAGCGTTGAAACCCCAGTGGAGATCACCATGGGATGGAATTGACTTGAGGGCAACGGGCTGTTGTACATTTGAAGCTTCCAGTTGTTTGTTTGTTTTTACTATAAATACTATTGCCAGGAACATTCCAGTATAAATCTTATGATGGACATAAATTCTACTGGGTAAGATGCCTAAAAGTGGAATTTCAAGCTCGATGGGAAGGCATGGTTTAAAGAGATATTACCCAAAAGTTTTCCAGCAGTTGATTTCATTTATGCAAAATTTAAAAACAGGCAAACAGAATCTATGGTGTTAGAAGACGAGACAGTGGTTACTCTTGGGAGGCTGCAACTGGAGGGGTGTGAGGGGGATTTCTGGGGTGCTGGTAATTGTTTCGTAATCTGATGCTGGTTACATGCATTTTATTCACTTTTTGGAAACTTGACACGCTGCACAATCAGGTGTAAGAGCTTTTCTTCATTATATTATACTTCAATTAGATGTCTATTTTTAGCAGGGATTGGAAAAGGAGTGTTTTCTTAAGGGATACTGAGTTTCTGTTTGGTATGATGGGGGGAGAAAACGAGACAGTGATGATGGTGGTTTATAGGGAAGATGCTTCATGTCACTGGATTATACGTGTGAAAATGGTTAAAATGTCAACTGCTTTGCTCTGTGTTGCCATTGTTGTTGTGAGGTGCTGTCAAGTTGATTACGACTCATCGCGACCCTCTGAAGACCAGGTCTGAGCCTTGCTGTGTCCTTCATCTCTGTCCGCACGGTCTCTGTCGTGCTCAAACCCATTGTCGTAATCACCAAGTTAATCCATCTTGTCGCAGGTCTTCCTCTCTTTCGCGGACCCTCTACTTTTCTCAGCAGGATGTCTTTCTCCAAGGACTTACTTCTCTTGGAAATATTCCCAGAATAAGTGAGACGGCCTCACCGTCCTTGCCTCTAAGGAACACTCTTGCGTCTACATATGGCACTTGTGATATACAGTTCCGTACGATAAAATGTTTTCAGACGCTTATGCAAGTCTTGGAATTCCTCAGAACATTGGACGGACACAACTAACTCCTCCCACATACTTGAACTGGAGATGGATATATGTCCCCTTGGAGGCACAAAGAAGCAAATGACTCTAACATCAAATGTCCCCAGTTCCCCAGTTAGCGCCCCACACATCCACACATGGGGCTCTGTTCGCTCGTCCTTCCTTAGACACTCCCCAGAACTGAGATGCCTTGAGCTCTCTCCTTGTCTTCTTGTCTGAATTTAACTGTCACTTCCCCCCTCCCCATGGTATGCCAAGCCCTGTCCTGGTCACTACGGGCAGCAGGCATGAGTGATGCAGCCAAAGTCTCAAGGAGCGGGAAAGGACACAAGTCACTCAAGCATGGGTAACTTGTCAAGTAATTTGCCCACAAAGGAGCTGTGTGTGTCCTACTCCCACGCCACCTCCTTCTTACTGGTGGGACCATGAGCAGAGGAGGGGTAACATGACCCTTTATTATCAAGATCACCTTTTTGGGATAAAAACCAAACTCATTTTTGCCAAGTTGGAGCTGACTCATAGCTGACCCTCCAGGGAGTTTCCAGAGGCTGTAAATGACACAACGAAAGTTTGCCCATCTTTCTCCTGCAGAGTCACTGATGGATTTGAACGACCTGCCTTTGGAATAACCACAAAACTTCCTACCCACACGTGGTGTGTGCTGTAGAGTCAGAACTGACCCTACTTGACCCGCCAGCACGTTTCAGAGGCAGTAAACCACGCAGGAGGAAGTTGCTCATCTTTCTGCCTCACAGCAGCTGGTGAATTTGAACTGTGCTCCTTTGGATTGGCAACACAGCTCCTCATTACTAAGCCACCAGAGGGCCCCCTTTCTGCCCACTAGACACCAGAACTCCAGCAAACTCCCTTTTCTGGAATAGAGAAAAATACAAAGGATGCTGAGTCCTGACCTTCTGAACCACCATAATAAAGCAGATTCAAATGAAGAAGAAAAAGACAATTCTGTCACATTAGAGTCTCTGTACTTGGTCTGTAGTCAGAGCAGTCTAAGTTACCTGTGGATCTAAGTTGCCCATTGGCCAACATAGGAGAAAGCTCCTCCTCTAATTCACCCAAAGGGTTCACTTGGGCTTTGAGGAGAACGTCGTGAAGGGGAGGGCATTGCAGGAAACACGGAGAGGAAGGGAGAAGAGAAACGACCACACAACCAAGTTCATTTCTATTCAGCGTTCCCAAGGTCAACACCCTCCTGGGTAGACTGTGAGGCTCGCCTCACCTCTCACCACCCGTTTTTCTTGGGGGTACGAGGTTTGGAGCCGGGTCACAGGTAGTCAGATGTCTCAGAGCTGTTGTCACCGAGCTGAGTGGGACCCAGTGCTGCCACCGCCTGGCTCACAGGGCCCACGACATCACAGAGTCCAGCGCGGTTCTCCAGACAGCAGACAACGCCACCTCTCAGCTCAAGGATGCAGCATAGTTTGAGGTCCCACATAGGGCAGGGTCACGCACAATGAGCTTTCCACAAAGAAAACCTTGGTCAAAAGAAGACCCTGGGTGCTGTCATTACCTGACCCCTAACCCTAGACAAGGCTGGTCCCCAGTCCCACCGGGCTGGGATCTAGTTCAGGGGGATTGGTGAGAAAGCATGGCTGGGCATAGGGCTTGGTGTCCTGATTCCAAATGGATTATCCATAGAAGGGAACATCACACCAGCCCAGATGATCAGGCAGCTCAGGAGCAGGGAAAGGGGATCTCAAAGAGGTGGAGGGATCAGAAAATGCATGTTGGAAGTGGAGGTGACGCTGTTAAATTCTAGCAAGTCTGTCCCAGGCATTCACCTGGCTGTTCTCTGCCCTAATGGGGACATAGCTCCCCAGCCTCCTCAGGGGACCTGGCTTCCAATGCTCTGTCCTCACCCTCACTCAACACTGTCTCACAAATGAGAGTTGCCTTCAGACCCAGCTTGGCTCTGTGCGCCAGCCAGGTACTCGCTCGAGGGCTCACATGTGTGTGGAGGGGATACCTGTGTGGTCTCCTTCTGAAAAGCCATCTCCACCGAGTTCTGGCCCGGGCTCTTCTTGTAAAAGCTCCTGTTTCTGTGAAGAGCAAGGGTGGATTCAGAGAGCCACTCCCCTCCCTACCCTGCCTGCCCCCTCCCACTGCCTCATAGGTTTGCTGGACACAGCAGTGGGGAGTCACACAAAAAGGAGGCACCTTCTCTGTCCTCCTCCCCAGCCCTTTCTTTAAAACAGACCGGATAAAAAGGACAGAGCGAACTATACAGCAAGGTGCATTTAGATGCGATTCTAGATGGGACTCTCGAATTTGAAGAGAAAAATGTGAAGCTTATGAATTTTGAAGGAGGGAGGCTCTTTTAAGGAATTGGAGGCATGTTCTAAAGGCAGAAGTTGGGGTCCATCTGCCTCCCCAGCTCCAGGCTCACCTCCAGGCATAGCAGGCCCCCAAACTCAAGAGTAGGAACAGGAGGCCTGCCAGACCACCCAGGACCCAGAGCAGCTGCTGGAACAGATGGAGACGGTCCAGGGCTGGAACACAGGGGAGAGGGTAGAAGTTAGGGCTTCTCCTGACCCTATTCCCTTGAAAATGACATCAATTTTAACTCACACATTGTCCGTTAACATCCCCCTACTGACTCCCTGCCCAAGGTGGACCTCCTCAAAGGAAAGCCTTTGGACCTAAGGGTAAGCTTGTACAGGGTGGCCCCACCTCACCTCTAGTTCCAAAGTAAGTGGAGGCTGACGCTGAGCCCAGGGTGTTGGAGGCAGAACACACATACTCCCCCTGGTCACTGGGCCTCAGTTCCACCATGTTCACCCGCAGGGCATTGGGGGAGATGGAGACATGGATGTGTGGCTCTGCTGGGATGCCCCGGGCCTGGGTAGATGCCACCAACCGGCTGCCAAGGTAGAGGGTCAGGCTGGCGCGAGGCTCGCTGTCCACTCGGCAGTCCAGGATGCCCTGGAGGCCGCTCTCTGGCTCAACAAAGACTGTCATGGTGGGCGTCTCAGGGGGGTCTGTGGGGAAGAAGAGTGACCACGGTAAGTGACCACAATCCTCTCCTCCCTGGACCCGCGCTAACTCCCTTTCAGAGAGGAGTCTATTTCAATCCCTTTGAGGCTGTGAGTCTCTTTGATCAATAGGAGTCTCGCAGCTCCTGCTTTACTTCTTCTTGCAACAAAATCACGTGCTTGTTGGAAGTGGAGGTGATGCTGTTAAATTCTAGCTAGCCTGCTGGAGACGTGTAACCCAACCAACAGACTGTGCCAACCACCAGCCACGAGGCCATCTTCGAACCTCTACCTGGGCTGAGCTGATGGACTACTGCAGCCAGGAGAGGTGGGACCAGCAAAAGAACCACCCAGAGGAGCCCAGCCAGGCTGCACACCTGCAGATTTGTGAACAGATAACACAGCTACCGTTTTAGCACTACGTTCTGTTGGGATTTGTTACATAGCTAACCGATACAGTAGGGGCCTGGTCTAGTATGTTACTGTTTATGTGGTGTGTGATCAAGACAGAACTGACCCACAGCTGACCCTTCAGCGGGTCTTCCTAGGCAGTTTATCACACGGGAGGAGATTGCCCATCCTCCTGCGGAACAGCTGGCAGATTCGAACTGTGTGCTTTTGGGACTGCAGCGCAGTTTCTTATCATGAGGCCACCAGAGCCCTCTAGGTGAAGCACGTTGTTGTGTGCCTTGAGTCGGAGCCGACCCATAGCTGATCCTCCAGCAGGTTTTCAGAGGCAATCAATGGAGCATAGGAGGAAGGCACGGATGAAGGCCTATTGCATATCTAACACTTTGTGTGCTTTATCTTCTGTGCTCCTCACTGATGTCGTCCCCATTTTACAGATGAGGACGCTGAGGCACAGATGTATAAGATCAGACATCACTCAGTGGCAGAGCCAGGACTCCAAGCTAGGCCTGGAGAGCTGAGTGGTTGCTCTCTGCACGTGGAAGAGGTGGACGTGTGAGGGTTGGGGAGGCGGAGGCAGGTGCTCACACTCACAGAGGACACGGAGCACGACAGGGGCAGAGGTGGCTGTCCCCGAGGGGAGCGTGGCCTGGCACTGGTACATCCCAGCCTGGGCGCGGCCCACCGCAGTGAAGGGGAGTGTGGGCTCAGGATCCACAGGGAGCTGCCGGCCATTCCAGAACCAGGCGAAGGTGGTGTTGTCCAGTGGCCCGTGGCCGTCAGGCAGGCGGCAGGTCAAGTTCAGCATTTTGCCCTCCTGCAGGTCCAGGCCTGGCTCCGCGACCACGTGAACACCTGCAGGTGGAGAGGGGAGGTGGCTGTGGGAGCTGGGCCTCGGGTCAGCTGGACTGTCTACATTATGGGAGGGTCTGAATCTGCCTAGATGTGGGTCCTCCATGTGGGACTGTCTCCGCTGAGGCTGGCTGTCGTCCCTGAGCTGTGTACCCCAGTGAGAGCAGGGCCCCTTCCCCACATAGGTTGTCTGATGGCTGAGGCTGCATCTTGCCCTCATCAAGAATGGCATGGCCTTTTTAACAAATGGTGTTGGCAAA